CATTCTCCTGCCAGCTATTTCCAGACTTCTAACACTCTCCTCAGTGGCCAAGCATGACTGTTGGTCTGTCCTTAGAATTCACATCCTACTTCACAGAAAAATATCTTAACTCTTGGGGGTCAAATCTTTACTTCATATTGTCATATTTCAAAATTTTCTCAGTTCTCACTTTCATCTCTTGTGTGTGTGTGTGTGTGTGTGTGTGAGAGAGAGAGAGAGAGAGAGAGACAAAGAAACTCTCCTTTCTCTATTTTAAGGCTGTCTTTCCGTATTGGTTCTGGTCCAATCCCTTCTTATTCCCCTGAACCAAAAAAAAAAAAAACAATATTCCATCTGTTATTTAATTTCTCTTGTATTTTTGTTATTTTTATTTTCCTTCCTCTTCTAAAAACAAACAAACAAACAAACGAAAAACCTACCCTTGACCAAAATTCCCTTCTCTATTTTAAGGCTGTCTTTCCGTATTGGTTCTGGTCCAATCCCTTCTTATTCCCCTGAACCAAAAAAAAAAAAGCAATATTCCATCTGTTATTTAATTTCTCTCGTATTTTTGTTATTTTTATTTTCCTTCCTTTTCTAAAAACAAACAAAAAAACAAACAAACGAAAAACCTACCCTTGACCAAAACAACTCATTTTGGCTACCACCCAACCATAACTTTTATTGCATAACCAGGCTTCTAGAAAAAATAAATGATTTTTTTCTGACTTTTGTTTTTGTTTTGTTTTGTTTTGTTTCCCTACCTCACAGTCAATATTATACCTTTAAAATTCAAAATAAATGTTTTGAGCAACTTTCACATCCCAGACTCCATGGAGTGCACAGAGGTCAAGTTTCTGTAGTATGTCCTCAGTAGTTTACAATCTATGGTGGAAGAGAGATGATAATTAGTTCAAAATATAGTGAGGTCCATACTATGCTAGCAATAACTATGGTGTGCTATGGGAGACCCTGAAAGCCACATCTGAACCACAAGGAAAGAAAGCCAGGGAGGTCATTAGAGAGGAGAGGTCAGACCTGAGCCCTGCAGGACAAGTAAGGATTAGGCAGACAGATATTGTCATCCCATGAAAGCCAGTTGAGAGGAGGGGTTGATTCCAGGAGAGCAGACGGAGGTAAATGAGAGCGTGGTGCATTCATTTAATCATATCTAAATACGACTGGAGTTGGAGGAAGTGTTAAAGTAAAGGAAACCTGGAGAGAGAAGCAAGGCCCAGATGATAAAACGTCTTCTGTGTTTCTGCAGAGAATCCAGGGTACTGTGGGGGCGGCAATGAGAATGACATTATAAAAGTTATATGTTGGCAAGATTGTTTGTACCTGGTGTGCAAATGGATTGTTTTCCAGTGTCAAGATGGTATGTAAGTGAAAAGTAAGACAAGGACAATAGATTTCAATTACCTGATAAACTTCCAGGGAAAGAATAGAAAGATTAGAAGGAAGGCAGTATTTGACCAAAGTGTTAGCTGAAAATTTCTCAGAACTTAAAAAACAAGTTTTTTGATTGCAAGTGACCACAAAGTGCCATGTAGGACAAAGAAAAAAACAAAAACAAAAGCTACACCAAAGCACATTGTCATGAAATTTCATGTACTTCTGGTTAAAGAAAAAAATCCTGAAATATCCTAGTGGAAAAATAAAATACCTCAAACTAATGAGAATCAAAGTTATATAAGCATTCTTCTCATCAACACTAGAAGTGAGAAGGAAGTAACATTATTTTTAAAGTGAATGCTTTAGGGCATTTTCAGTCAGGGTCAAAAGCAAAAACAAAAACCTGGAATAACAGAGTAACAGAAATATAGGTGGAGAAAACGGACAGATTTATTAGATAATTTATCAATTATATTAAAATATGCTTGACGTTACAAGTAATCAAAGAAATATATGCTAAGTAATCAAGGTGGTAGTAATTTTTATCAATTTTTTTATCAATTAGATTAGTAATTATAATTTCCAGTTTGGGCAAGACGACGGAGTGTAATCGCTAGGATTTATTGAGCGCTCACTCATTGCTTGATACTGCGCTAAATACTATACGTGTATTTTTTTCTTTAATCCCTACACTACTCCCAAATTCTAAATTTTTAAATCCTGAATGACCCTGTTGGAGACACTGTATCTTACAGGTGAGGAAACTGAGGCTTCCAAGATAGGTCTCTTACCCTTACTAGCAAAGCTAGAAGGGAGTAGAGCTAAGGTTTCAGGGCCAAATATGCTGAAGCACTTAACTTATAAGGGATGGGATGAAGGCACATACATAGCACATCACGGAAGGAAAATAGGTAGAAATATAGTTTTGTTTTTTTTTTACATTGCCAGAGTAACATACGTTCAGATATATTTGTCAACATTTAAGGGCGATCACCAGTAAAATAAAATACCAGAAAGTTCTAACTTTCCAGATGAGAGGAAGAGAAAAGGACTGTGGAAACCTTAAAAAGAAAAAAAGGAACAGAGAAAAAACATGATCGGTGTGGAAATGGAGAAATGAAAGACCACAGGAAAAACTTAATTTAGAAACTATAAAATCAGATGACTGGATGAAGTGGATTGGTTATCCTAGGGACCTACATTCTGTCATGGAAAGTAAAAGATTTGCAGACTAGGTGAAAAAAAGAAAATTATACTGTTTCGAGCAACGTCCTGTATAAGCAGATAATAGAGGTTGTCCAAAATATACCTGAGAAATGCAACTGCAAATAAAAATGTACACATCACACAAAGGATGTTTCAAGTCCCCCCACCCCAAAAAATAACAAAACCATAAAACAGAATCAAATAGAATTTATTTGTTATATTTTTAAGGAACAAAGAGCAATTTGGGGGAAGTATCTGATAAAACCTAAATGCAGGCAGTGCAGCTGGGTCTGAGAAAGGATGAGAAGCAAATCTCATCCTTTTCTCATCCAGAAAAATCTCTGGGTACTGAGCAGACATTCTCAGCTTTCCTCTCTGCCCAGCTGCTTGGCCACTGTATTCTTCTCTTTACAAATCAGGTGGCTGTGTTTGCATGCACAGTGTCAAAGGCTGCACACAAGCCCCGCGGTGCCAAGTACTCGGGGCAGTAGCCAGCAAGGAATCCAGGAGAAATGTTCTAGCCTGATGCGAAGCCCATCACATGAAATCTACATGGCTGCTGGCTCCGGAGAATATTGCTGCAAAATACATGAAGCTAAGGCAAGGAGAATTGTAAATGTGTGCACGTAAAGTGAGAACCATTCAAGGAACAGACACACAGAGAAGCAACAGAGCATTTATTTGAGCTCATAGACTGATGATGATGGTCATGGTTTTAACCCAGGTTCTGCTACTCACCAGCTGTATGAATTTGGGCATGTTATTTAAACTTTCTGGGTCTCATTTTCTCATCTGTAGAATGGGGGTGATTACAATGGAGCCTACCTCATGAGATTGTTATGTAAATGTGTTAATGCTTGAGCGTGACCTGCACACAGTAAGTGCCATCCATGGCTGCTAAGTAAGTACATTATACTGTAAAATCGGTGCCATTCCACTTTTGAAATCCCCCAAAGACTATTTCTTTTTAAATGGCAAGCTGACACTAAAGTTTATCTAGAAGAGCGAAGACGTACGACTTGTTTAAGAAAATGCTGACAAAGAAGATTAATGAGGGTGGGCTTGCTTTGCACTAGTGGGGCCGAGTTTATGGGGCTGTACAAGTGAAGGGAGAGGCCAACATATCGAAGGAAAAGAAAGGGGTCTGAAAACCGATTTAGGGCCAGAACACATGAGCTCTATCGTGGATACAAAGTTCTGGGGAAAAAAGTGACTGAAAATATTTTCTAACTTATATATTCCCTGTGAACAAAGCACCGGTGATGTTAGGAAATGTGATGGTTTTGTATGTTCTACAGAAAACAGCAAACAGACAGAAACAATCAGAAGTCTTTCTTTTCTTTCTTTCTTTTTTTTTAGGTTTGACCATCTCATGCATTAACGAGTTCAATCTGCTTCTACTCTGTTTGCTGAGCAATTTGTGGACTCGTATAATGAACAAAAGAGGAAACGTGATTGAATCAATATTGAGGGGATGGGACATAGGTAAGGAAGCTTTCACACCATTTGCATGGACGATGGGACACAGATAAGTCTGTTTGATTTAAGAATTGCAGAGCCCACTGTTTCCCCTCCAGTTGCATGTTCAGGAAGTAATTATAATGCAGAGGAACTTAGTCTTACTGACTGCGAGCTAAAGACAAACGTCATGATTACAAGAAGTTTTGGAACTGCCTTGTCTTCGACTTACATAAAGTGCTCAAAAAAAGAAAGGCAACTCTTACCTGTTAAAAAATGTTTCTTAACAATATGGAAAAGAGGACACATGAAAACCCAGTGGTTACCTACAGAGAGACTTATGTGTTTTCTGGGACTTGTTGCAGAAATAACAAGCCTGTAGGTCTTGAGAGTATATGTGATTTTATATTAAATTGCTCTAAAGATACACCTATTTTGCACCCCGAAAAAGATGCTAAGGTTAGTGGGCACGCCATGCAACTGAGATGCAGATGAAAATTCAGAGTTCATTTTGTCACCCTGAAAAAAACACCGTGTTTCATTGCCATCTTTCTAGATCCGGGTTTTAAGAACTAAATTTCAGTGGAAGGTTTTGAGTTACTTTCCGTCCTCATTGGTATACTTCCAGCTACCTGTTTTTTTAAATCTCCCCCCTAACCCCCACCATATCTCTCTGTTCTGTTCTTCTCTGAACTGTCTCTTTATTTACCTTTCTTTAAAAAATTGTTTTGGGGGGTTAACTCTCCCATTAAGGTCTTGCATGAAAAAACGAATTGAGAAAGACTAAATTCGTTTTGGTTTGATAGTTCCTAATGTTTTGATATGTCCAGCCAGCCATCTGCAACTACACACTCCCTGCTGAGGAATTGGCGGGGAGACAAAGGAACAAAAAACTGTAAAGAAGTCACCATGTGATGTGAGCACAGAGTTTTTGGCAGCCCAGCTGAATTAAGACCATAATCCTTTTCGGAAATCAGTCTAAAACGGAACTATTCACAATAAACAAGAAATTAAAAGCATGATGTAGTAGTGACCCAAAACGAACGTGAATTCTTCTCCGGGACGGGCAGAGACCTGTGGGTGAACTGTTTCTAGATTCTTGTTTCAGCTTTCCTGAGAGTAAGTTAACCTCTAAAATCGTGGTGGTTTTGCATTTGGGAATGTAACGTACAACTTCAAACAGAAATGCCAAACGTTTGGACGGAAACTGTGAAATGCAGTAAGTTATTAAGGAGTCGTTTCGGTTTTTGAAATTATCTGAGTGTTTTGTATTGTATAGCTAAATGATCAGTTGGAGAACTAAGAATTTTGTTGTTGTTGTTTTTACCCCATGACTAAGTATATTTGGACAAATAGCATATATTATCTGATAGGCTATTGGATAAATTGAAAGGAATATAACTTTATGTTGCCTTTTTGTAAGTATGAGCTATTTGCCAAGTTATTAGAATTACTTATTCTTTGTTCTTTTTCAATTTTACTGCCAAAGGATTTGTAAGCGTTGAGGGGGGAAACACAATTTTCTGAGTTTTGAATTGTTTTAACTGGCTTGAGAATATTTTAACCAAGAAAACTTAGGGCAATACTTTTTTATTGACCATTTTCATCAAACTAAATATATAAGGATTTTTATCTAATTTATTGCACATGTATGTATTCTCTGAATACTAGTAATTCTATCTGATGGGAAGTGACTGGATTTTTATAGCCAAGTTATTATTTCTAGATTTCCTATTCAGAGCAATTTAAGCTAGTTAGATGTTTTGTACTAGTGTGGTGAATAGTATTTTTCTCCTGCTATTTACATCAGGATGTACAGGGGGAAAGAATCAGTCTTAACAATTAGAAACAAATAGCCACAATTATGACAATTGGATCATGTTCATTATTCTTCATTCATAAGTGATTTCCAGCATATTCACTAATCCACAGAAAGAAAAAAAGAGTAGGCACACCCAGGCAGCATAGTTAACCCCTTCAGACACCGCGGTTGCCCACGACATTGATTTCCTCCTTTGAAATGTCACAGTTGGTTTCAGTTCGGTTCTCCGGGCTGTCACAGCCTGCTCTGATGCATTATCAAGAGCTCATCCAAAAAGCTTCTGAATCCTTTTGTTCATTCCTAGACAATTTTTAAACAAAACGCATGCCCTCCTGTGTCCTATAGATGAGCACATCACAGAAGGAACCTCCAGCAACTATTTCCATCCTAAAGCCCCTGCCATAGACGACATCCGAATTTCCTTCTGTCTTGTTCCCAGTCCTCATGTGGTATCAGACTCCTTTCGTGCTCCCGTATTAGTTTTCTGTTGCTGCTGTAACAAATGACCACGCACTTAAAGGCTTACAATTAAATAGACTTACCGTCTTCCAGTTTGAGGAGTAAGAAGTGTGCTGTGGGTCTCACTGGACTAAAATCAAGGTGTTGGCAGGGCTGTGTTCCTTTCTGGAGGAGGTAGGGGAGGATCTATTTTCTTGCCTTTACAGCTTCTAGGGGCTGCCCCTACTCCTTGGCTCATGCCCTTTTCCTCCATCTTCAAAGCCAGCAATGGGTTGAGTCCTTATGACTTCCCATCACTCTGACCTCCTCTTCTGCCTCCCTCTTCCTGTTCTTTTTTTTTTTTTTTTTAACCATCAGGGTCCAATGGACCCTTTTTTCTTTCACTTTTTTTGCATTTTATTTTATTATTAGTTTCAAGAATACAGTACATTGCTTAGACATGAATACAATTTATGAAACAATCCCCCTGATTACCCTATCTTCCCTCTGACTCTACACACAGGCATTACATTACTGCTGACTGCACTCCCTATGCCGTGCTCCCCATCCCCATGACCATCTATCAACTACTAATTTGTACTTCTTTAACCCATCACCCTATTCTCCCAGCACCACCCCATCTCTGGCCATCACCAGATTGTCCTCTGTATTTGTGAGTCTGTTTTCGATTAGTTTTTTTTTCTCTTAGATTCGGCATATAAGTGAAATCATATGGCATTTATCTTTCTCTGTCTGACTTATTTCACTCAGCATAATAACCTCTAGGTCCATCCATGTCATTGCAAATGGTAGGATTTCATTTTTTTTAATGTCTGGACAATAGTCCATTGTATATTTGAACCATGATTTTTTTATCCAGTCATCTGTTGATGAGCATTTAGGTTGCTTCCATATCTTGGCCATTGTAAATTGTGCTGCCATGAACATAGATATGCATAGATCTTTACGAATTATTGTTTTGGTTTTATTTGGATAAATACCCAGAAGTGCAATTGCTGGGTCAAAAAGTAGATCCACTTTTAACTTTCTGAGGAAACTCCAGACTGTTTTCCAGAGTGGCTGTACCAATTTGCAGTCCTACCAACAGTGTATGAGGGTTCCCGTCCCTCCATATCCTCACCAATACTTTCTGTTCTTTGGTTTATTAATGATAGCCATTTTGACAGATGTGAAGTGATATCTCATTGTGGTTCTAATTTGCATTTCTCTGACGATTAGTGACCTCAAGCATCTTTTCATATGTCTATTGGCCATCTGTATTTCCTCTTTGGAGAAATATCTATTCAGGTCTTCTGCCCATTTTTTAATTTCATTGTTTGTTTTTTTGTTGTTGAGTTGTATGAATTCTTTATATACTATGAATATTAACCTTTTCTCAGATGTATCATACCCAAATATCTTCTCCCATTCAGTAGACTCTCTTTTTGTTTTGTTAATGGTTTCCTTTGCTGTGCAAAATCTTTTTCATGCAAACACTTTTTAGTTTGTTTATTTTTTCTTTTGTTTCCCTTGCCCGAGAAGGTATATCTAAAAAGAAATTACTAGTAGCAATATCAGAGAGATTACTGCCTATGGTTTCTTCTAGAAGATTTATTGTTTCAGGTCTTCCATTGAAGTCTTTAATCTGTTTCGAGTCTATTCTTGTATACGGTGTAAGAAGGTAGTCCAGTTCATTTTTCGCATGTAGCTGTCCAGTTTTCCCAACACCATTTATCGAAAAGACTGTCTTTACTCCATTATATATTCTCGCCTCCTTTGTCATATGTTAAATGAGCATATAGATGTGGATTTATTTCTGCGCTCTCTATTCTGTTCCATTGAGTACTGTATCTGTTTTTACACCAGTACCATGCTGTTTTGATTACTGTAGACTTGTAGTATAGTTTAATATCAGGTAGTGTGATACCTTCAATTTTATTCTTCTTTCTCAAGATTGCTGTGACTATTCAGGATCTTTTATGGTTTCATAGAAATTTTAGGGTTATTCGTTCTAGCTCTCTGAAAAATGCCATTGGTATTTTGATAGGGATTGCACTGAATCTACAGATTGCTTTTGGGTAGTATGGCCACTTTAATGATGTTGATTCTTCCTACCCATGAGCACTGTATATACTTCCATTTATTTGTATCTCCTTCAATTTCTTTTTTTTTGACGACAATTTTCTGAGAACAGGTCTTTTACCTCCTTGGTTAATTTGAATCCTAAGTATTTTATTATTTTCAATGCAATTGTAAACAAAATTATGTTCTTAATTTCTCTTTCTGGGAGTTCATCATTGGTGTATAAAAATGCAACTGACTTCCAAATATTAATTTTGTATCCTGCTACTGAATTGAATTCATTGAGAAGCTCTTTTTCTCACTTTCTATTTTAATTGAAAGCCTTGCTGGGTAGAGTATTTGCAATTGTAGATTCCTGTTTTTTACAACTTTGAATATTTCTTGCCAGTCTCTTTTGACCTGTAAAGTTTCTGTTAAAAATCAGCATTCTTATGAGAGTACCCTTGTAAGTAAGTAGCTGCCTTTCTCTTGCTGCTTTTAAGATTCTCTCTTTGTCTTTGACCTTTGGTATTTTAATTATGTTGTGTCTTGGTGTGGATCTGTTTGAATTCTTCTTGTTTGGGACTTTTTGTGCATCCTGGACTTGTATGTCTAATTCCTTTGCCAGGTAGGGAAGTTTGCTGTCATTGTTTCTTCAAATAGATTCTCAATCCCTTGCTCTCTCTCTTCTCCTTCTGGCTTTCCTATGATACAGATATTATTATTTCATGTTGTCCCAGAGGTCTCTTAAATTATCCTCTTTTTTTCAAATTCTTTTTTCTTTTTGCTGTTCTAATTGGGTGTTTTCTGCTATTTTGTCTTCCAGTTCAGTGATTTGATCTTCCTCTTCGTCCAATCTACTGTTGAATCCTTCTGGTGTATTCTTCATTTCAGTTACTGTATTCTTCATTTCTGTCTGGGTCTTTTTAATGGTTTCTATGTTATTTTTTATACTTGCTATCTTTCTGTTGAGGTCTCATTGAGCTCATCCATTCTCCCTCTAAGTTCATTGAGCATCCTTATAACCATTATTTTGAATTTTGTCTCTGGTAGGTTGCTTGCCTCCATTTCATTTAGCTTATTTTCTGAGTTTTCTTCTGTTGTTTCATTTGTGGCATGTTTTGTTTTCTCATTTTATTAGCTTCTCTGTGTTCATTTATTTCTATGTGTTAGGAAGATTTGTTTCATTTCTCAGCCTAGGCCAGATGGCCTTATGTGGAAGGTGTCCTGTGTGTCCCAGTGGCACACTCTTCCTGATCATCTTTGCCAGGGGCTCTGGATGTGATCTTTGTGTGGGTTGTGTGTGATCTGCTATTGTGGCTAAGCCTTTACTGGTGCTAGTACATCAGTGGATGGGATTAAAGCTCAGGCTAATTGTGGGAATTGGCTGCTCCCACTCGGTAAAAGTTACTGTGTAGGGGGCTGATCCCACTGAATGGGATTTGTCCTAGCAGGCTTGTGTACTTGTTGAGACTGCCCTTTGTGTATACCACTTATGGGCCAGTCAGGAGTTGCTCTGTTGTGATCTAATGCCAGCCTCCAGGTGCGTTGGTTTTGTGGCCCCTTGGGAGGGGCTCTCCAGTAGGCCTAGGTCAGCCACTGCCTTTGATTGCTTGGGGCTACCTGGTCAAGCTACAAAGCTATTCTCAGGTGGTTGCTGCCTATGGTGGATCTATAGGTAAATGGAGGAGACAATGCTATAGGCTGTGGTCCAGTTATCCCCAGTACCAGGGTCTGGGGCGGTTTAGCAGAAGGTCCAGTGCTCCTTAAGGCCTCTGGCTGCCTGTCAGTTGCCCAT